CGAAGTTTCTGGCTCTCTATTTCTCTCCCTTCCTCTCTGTAAAAAATCAATAAAATATATTAAAAAAAAAAAAAAGAAGTAGTCATAAAGGTAATCTTTTGCCAGGATAGATTACTGCCTATAAATTTTTATTGGAGGCATCTTGAAATAGAAAGAACCTGAATTTAGTGACAATAAAACCTGAATTTGAGTCTTTTTGCCCCTAATTAGGTGTGTTAATTCAACTATTTAAAGTTTGTTCCATCTTACCTCAAAGGATTGTTCTAGGAACTAAAGTAGTTGATATGTATAAAGTGCTATTTACCTAGTTATTTATTTTAAATATATTTTTATTGATTTCAGAGAAAAGGGAGAGGAAAAGAGAGATAGAAACATCCATAATGATATAGAATCATTGATTGGCTGCCTCCTGCACACCACACTCTGGGGATCGAGCCCACAACCCGGGCATGTGCCCTTGACCAGAATCAAATTCAGGACCCATCAGTCCGCAGGCTGATGCTCTATTCCCTGAGCCAAACCAGCTAGGGCTATAAAGTGCTTTTAAAAAAACAAACAACTACTAACATTTAATGGGCTTTAACTATGTCAGGCATTATTTTGAGTATGTACAGATGTTCATTTTTGTACTCTACAAAAACCATGTGAGAAAATAGACCCCACTTTGTAGATGATACTAGTCAAAATGAATAAGTGCTGGAGCTTAGGTTGAATATAGAAAAGTTATTCCAACACCTCTATTCTTAACCAGTATGCTTCTTATTCTTAGCTCCATTTTAGTGATTGAATAGTAGTCTCAGAAATAGTTGTGCCAGTATTTTTATTTTTTTGTACACAACATTTTCCTACATTTTTTTGTACACAACATTTTCTTTTTTTAATACATGGTGCTTTTTTCATTGACCTTGTTAAAAGGAATATTAATGTGTAACACAATACTTTCAAATCTTTATCAGTGTTTTAATTATGCTAACTAAAGTATTCTCTTTAATGCAGAATTGTCTTTCAAAATGTAAAGTTAAAAATTTAGATTACCAGGGTTTTTTCTTTTCCAAAACTACTTGGTAAATTTGTTTTATTATTGGAGTTTGAGTACTAACGAAAACTACCTACTCCTCTCTGGTTCCTTCACAGGCGCAAGTTATATTTTTTGTCTTATGCATCTGTACTTCTAGTGCAAATCAATGCAGTAATGGAATTCACGTGTCAATTTTTACTGGAAAATGACAGTCATGTTAAGTTTTGTGAAAAACCTTGGTGTAACAGTTTTTTTTGTATTGACTAGTACTTTTAGAAATGTGGCATTATAGTGATCATTATAAAATGAGAATAAGAATTTATACAGGAATAAAGAAATACATATACATAAGAATAAATATATTTACTTATTTAAAGTTAGCACATGTTTGCTAACTTTTTTGAGAGAGAATGTGTGTATGAGTGAGTGTGTGTGTGTGTGTGTGTGTGTGTGTGTGTGTATTTGGCTTTTGCTCTTATGAACTTATTCAGATTATGTGTATATTTTTATCTGCCAACTTTTGAGGGGTTGTTTTGGCAAATAATACTTTGGTGGAAGAGCCCTTTAACTGTTGCCTGCAATGGCCTCTTGGCATTTGCTATGCTTCCTCGATGAATCATCAACAACAACATGTCTTAGTAATTGATATTACTCAGTAGTAGTTAGTTTTGCTTGAGGATTCTGTTCTTAGCCTCTCTGTTTGCTGGAAAAGAATGAAACTTTCTCTGAAGAAAGTTGGTGTTTCAGGCCTGGGTCTTGCTGGTCTTGGCCCCGTGGTTTACCTATGATAGAATAAGTAAACTTCTATTTTCCTTTATTCCCCACATTATAGCCCTTGCTTCAGAGATCCTACTTGCTAAAAGTTAGAAGTTCTAGAGATTGATGAGTTTGGATTTGTACCTATTTCCTGCACCCATTATAGTACCTAGAATATAATAGTCATTTCATAAAGTTTGTTTAGTGATTGATTGATAACTAAACTGATATGAATGAATCACAGGAAGAAGGTGAAGCTGGAAGACCCCAGTCAAGTTTATGTAGCTAGGAGGTGGTAGATCTGTACCTTAAATTTGATGATCTGGCACCAAATATCTTCTTTTCTAGTTATTCATGTACCAACTACCTAATCATCTAAAGAATGAAATCAAATAAGACAGTACACCATACTAATTTTTTAAATGACAAATGAATGTTTGTAATAGTTACTTTAACAATATTGGAGTTAGTTGTCTTATGCCTTTGCAAATGAAACCAATCAATCACACAGCATTTACCTTCTATCCAGTCTCCGTGTTAGAGGTACCTAGTCTCCGCAGTTTTGGATTCACTGTTAGTTAAGGCAAGATGGCAGAGGAAATTTAGGGCCCCTATAAAAAGAAGCAGAATTAATAGTGAAAGGTAGGAGGAGAAACAGAAAGATAGATATCCCTATCTTTTTTAAGTAAGTCATGAATAGAATGTATATGTGGGTAGAAAGAAGTTAGTGGAGAAAAGGAAAGATGTTATTTAAAGGAAAAACAATCTTTTGGGAGGCAGGATCTTCTCTATACAGTTGTCTGACATTTCAGAGCAAAGAATAAGTTAGGATGGATGCCATAATGATAAATTTAGAGATGCAGAGGGAAATAAGTTGGAGGAAGTTTTGCTTGAAAACGTGTTTTCCTCTGTGAAGTAGGAAGCAAAAGATTTTATCTGAGAGTTCCATGATTGGAAGTGGGGAATAGGAGAGTGGTGGAGTTGAAACATCTACCATTGTGATGACTGGTTCTGACAGCCCTGCTGGAATCAGAAACTAAATTTGTACTGGCATAGATCTACACAGTTATGTGATGTGTTTTCATTCTTGACCAGGAAAGAGTAGACAGAAAGTCCCAGATTGGGTCTCAATAGGGGGTAGATGTGGTAGAAGATATGGGAACTAGAAAGTTTAGGGTGAGTGTCATGCAAGTTTTTCACTTTATAGTCTAGGCCAGTGGTCCGAAAGGTTGGCAACTGCTGGTCTAGGTTATACAGGATACAAAGTAACCAGGCCCAAAGAATAGACATAAGTGCAAGCAAGGGAATGAGGTAAAAGCCAGGAGGAATTGGTGACCAGGAAGTAAAATGTATAAATCTATTATCTTCTAGTAGAAGCAGTTCTAGATGAGGTCATGTAAGACCTGATGTAGTTACTGGACCACTCAACTCTGGGTATTATTACTCTTCTAGTTTTATAGTTAAGGTGTTAAGTTGGTTTATCTTGTATTATAATAGGATTTAAGATAAAGGAGACAATATTGGGGTTATAGAGCTTACTCCCTGGGGAATGTTTGGAACCTTGTAAATACGATCAGGATGTGAAAGCATCTGGCAAGTTGTATAGATGTGTGAACTTGAGAGGTTCTTGATTTAGTACTGGCAATATTCAAGAAAATTTTCCTTCTTGTTGCCAGATAAGGGGACTTTGGGCAAGGATTAACATTCTTCTTTGAGAGGCCTTAGGAATGTAGTGCTATCATGGAAAACTGGATTTAGATTAAAAGTGGAAAGTCATCTTGTAAAGTGACTGAAGATATTAGAGGTTTTTAATGATCATATAGGGTTTCTAAGCAATAGAGTGGAAACGGTTAGAAGCTGGATTATAGAGTTTTAAGTTAATCTTTCGTTTTATACGATATATATTTTTATTTTCTTATAATTTTTTTTCTTTAACTTTATTTTAAGATAATTTTAGACTTATAGAAAGGTGTGGGGAAAATATTGTAAAGAATTCCTTTATACATGCTGTATATAATCCCTGGGCTCCAATCACCCATCCCCATCCCACCTGCACACACCCACCTCTCACCTGCTCCCACCTGTTTCCACCCACTCCTACCCCCTAAGAGATGACCAAAGCCCGAGAGCCTGCCCATGAGGTTGCTCTCCAGGTGAGGCTGTGGGGCTAGAGCCGTCAGGATGGGGGCAGTGGGCCTCTCCCTTCCCGCCAGCACCTGTAGCTCCAGGCCTTCCTCCACCTTTTGGAGCACAGCTTCCTTCAGGAATCCCTCACCAGAGATCCCTGTTTCCAGATTTCAGATAAGTATCTCCTGGCCATGGTGCTGGTCTGCTTCTGGCGCACCAACCTGAAGCTCAGCAAGTACCACTGCAGCAACCTGTTCTTGGTACTGTACCTTGCAAACGATAGGGAGGAGGACCTAGAGGAAGCCAAATGTATGATTTTCCTGTGGGCCCCGCGTGAGGATTGGCATAGTCAGATGGCAGACGTCCTGAATCAGAGGGATAAGCTATGGGCAAGGATGGGCTTCCAGGTTTTAGTGAGCCGTTGGTGCTGTGAGAAGGTCATGACCATGGAGATGTCCCACTGGGCCTGGACTCAGGAGTGGTGCCCCCACCACGGCGGGGCTCACAGGAACTACTCAAAGGCCAAAGCTGGGATCACTCCCCCAGGGCCCCCGGCTTTTCACCACCCCACCCCACTGCTCCCTCTGTGGCTCATCCCTCTCCATAGCCTCTATTCCCACCAACCTGCCCCTTGCCTGTCTTACTCAAAAGTTCTTCCCCAAAGCCTGAGTGGTGTGGCTCTCCTTCCCATGCTTGTCTCTTAGGGGCTGAAGACCCCTGGGGTGGGGGCTTCCTCATGGTCCTACCCTCCCAGCTGCATCTGGAGCCAGGCACCTACATCCTTCACATACTCCAGGAGCTGCTGCCAGTGCCCTAGGTGGGATGCTTGCAGGATGAAGAGCAGCTGGCCTGCCTGCCCACTAACTGATTTTCTCTTCATAAATTCTTAACAGTTTGTTTATTGTAAAGAAACTATAAAAATTCTAAAGCTGTTAGAGACTGATTAGGTCTCTTAAAATGTTTGTTCATCTTTTAAAATGCTATTTTACTTTCTTTATAGCTAAAAAATGACAACCTGACTGAAATGATCTTTAAAAATTAACATAAATTTAAAAAAGAATCATTTTAATATTTCTTTTTTTCTTCTTTGTTTTTTAAGCTTTACAATGAAGAGGATAATTCAGAATCATCTGCTATAGAACAGCCATCAACTTCAAACCCAGCACCACAGATTGTGCAGACTGCTCCTTCAGCATTAGTATTTGAAACTGACTCTTCTCCTCCACCTTATAGCAGTATTACTGTGGAAGTACCTACAACTTCAGGTATTGTTGTGTTTTTGGTTTGTTTGTTTTAAATATATTTTTATTGATTTCAGAGAGGAAGGGAGAAGGAAAGAGAGATAGAAACATTAATGATCAGAGACTCATTGATCAGTTGCCTCCTGCCCACTTCCTATTGGGGATCACAGCCACAACCCATCCCTGACCTGGAATCAAACCATGACCTCCTGGTTCAAAGGTCAACACTCAACCACTGAGCCACACCAGATGAGCAGTATTATTATTATATCGAATAAAAGAGTAATGTGCAAATTAACCATCACTATGCTACACCCGCAAGCCATGCCCATAAGCCAATCAGGAGCAAATATGAAAGTAAACCCAACCAAGATGGCTATAGTCACAGAGAGCAGGAGGGAGGCTTGGGTTTCCCCAGCAATGGAGGAAGCCAAACTTTCCATCTGCCCTTGCCTGTCTAGGATTCCACTCAAGGCTACAAAGTTTCAATGATAGAAGATACATAAATCCAAACAGAAATGGCAGTAGCCACAGAGCTGGAAAGAGCAGGAGGCTAGAGTTGCCCCTGGCAATGGAGGAAGCCAAGCTTTCTGCATACCGTGGCTAGCCCAGGCTTCTGCTTAAGGCTACAAAGTTTCAATTATAGAAGATAAATAAACCCCAGATACCAGAGCCTCTGCTTGTGTCACCAGGGAGCATGGCCAGCCTGCAAACCATCACGGGCTTCTTGCCCAGGCCACCCTATACCCCAAGGGAACCCCCACTCTGATTCAGGACACCCTTCAGGGCAAACCAGCCAGCCCCCACCCATGCACCAGGCCTCTATCTAATAAAAGAGTAATATGCAGATTGAGCATCACTCCAACACACAAGATGGCTGCCCCCATGTGATCAAAGATCCTGTCCCCATGTGGACATAAGATCATCACCACAAGATGGCCAGCAGGAGAGGGCAGTTGAGAGGGACCAGGCCTGCAAGGGAGGGCAGTTGGGGGCAATCAAGCCTGCAGGGGAAGGGAGTTAGGGGCAATCAGGTTAGCAGGGGAATGGTTGGGGGTGATCAGGCCAGCAGGCAGAAGCAGTTAGGGCAATCAGGAAGGCAGGCAGATGAGCAGTTGGGAGCCAGCAGTCCTGGATTGTGAGAGGGATGTCCACTGACCACTTAGGATCAGGCCCAAACAGGCAGTCGGACATCCCTTGAGGGGTCCCAGTTTGGAGAGGGTGCAGACTGGGCTGAGGGACATTCCCCCTTGCCCCACCTTGCATAAATTTTGTGCAGTGGGCCTCTAGTTTTTATTATGAAACAATGTTTTTAATAGCTCATTTTTTTACTCATTTTTTTAACCAGTATGGTTTTATGTAATTATCATGTCTATTAATAAACTTTTTGGTTTTATGATTTAAAAAAAAAAATCTGTTTTCCCAAGTTTGTAAAATATTTATTTCATACATTACTTTTCTCATATTGTTCTTTTTAAAATTTAATTGAGATATATAGCTATTTAAACTTTTTTATGCTTAACTGGGATCTATTTCCAATTGACTAGCTTGTGCTTTTAGAAGAAATGAACAAACATATATACACCCATACATATATAATATAAATATACAGGTATATACACATATATGTATATGTATTTACATAGTCATAAAATAAGGTGTTATTAATGATGAGTGTGAGTGAGAATATGTGTTAATAGAGGTTAGGGTATGCATAATGTTATTCCATGCACATGGTAATAATTCTTAGACATAACACAGTGACTCCTACTTGCTACTCTTCATCTTATTCTTTCAGGTCATTCTAAAGAACTACCCTCATCTATTTCTCTGGCCACAATTTGCATTTTCCCAGGCACACTAATTTAATTATTATAGTGTTTTAAGTATGGTTTTTTATATTATAAATTATTATAAATAACCTAAGTATTTTATATATTCTTTATTAAGTATTTAAAAAATAAGCTGTTGAAAAACATTTTAATGTAAGAAATCTTTCATTAAGTATTTCATCTGTTTTATCACTCATGTTCTGTAATTAGTGTCATCTAGCTTTCTCTGGTTATCATTTTTGCTTGTCCAAATTTTATTTAGACCATCTATGAATGGGATGTGTAAAAAGACCAGTATTTTTTACATCAAATTTATTTACCTTTTTTAATGTAGTGAATGAAAATCATCTCTGTAAAGCTGTTCTCACTGGTTAAATTACTAAAGGCTTACTTCTTCTATCTTCTATAATAATAAAAGCATAATATGCTAATTAGACCCAACAGCCAAATGACCTTCTGGATGACCGTGATGCTATGACACTCACTGGCGTCAGGCCAGCCATCGTCCCATGCTTGCCTTACAGAGGGAGGCCTAGGTCACTGTCCAACTGGGCAATCGATCAATTGTGGGGGTTCCACAATTGTCCCAAAGAGGGAGGCCCAGCACCAATCTTTGGGCTGTGGTGGATGGGTGGGGCTTCTCTCTTTGGGGTGAGATTGATTGCATGATTGCCCTGAAGAGGGAGGCCCAGGCCGCCAGCTGGCAGGGTGATCGATCAATCAGGAGGTTCCATGATCGCCCCAAAGAGGGAAGCCCAGGCTACCCCACAGCAATGGGGGCTATCCATTGTGGAGCCTTGGTTGGGTGAGCAGAGCCTACCTCTTTGGGGCAATCCATCAAGGAGCCCCTGCTGGGTGGGTGAGGCCTACCTTTTTTGGGTGATTGATCATGGGGCTCGTGGACTGTGAGAGGACACAGGCCTGGTTGAGGGACTCCCCTTCCCCCCCAATGCACGAATTTTGTGCACCAGGCCTCTAGTCCTCTATCTAAAAAAAAAAGGAATAATATGCAAATTGACCATTACTATAATACAACACATGATGGCTTTCCCCATGTGGTCAAAAGTGGCTGCACCTATATGGACACAAGATGGCCAGCAAGAGAGGGCAGTTAGGGCTGACTAAGCTGGCAGAGGAGGGCAGTTGGGAGGAATCAGTCCTATAGGGGGCAGCAGTTCAGGGGACCAGGCTTGCAGGGGAGGGCAGTTGGTGGAGACAGGCCTGCAGGAGAGGGCAGATGGGGGGGGACCAGGCCTGCAGGGGAGGACAGTTAGGGATGACCAGGCCTGCAGGGGAGGGCAGTTGGGGGTGACCAGGCTGGTAAGAGGCAGTTAGGGGTTATTGGGCCAGTAGGGGAGGGCAGTTGGGCGTGATCAGGCCTGCAGGGTTGGGTAGTTAGGAGCAATTGGGCCAGCAGCAAAGCAGTTCGGCATCTATCAGGTTGGCAGTGGAGTGGTTAGGGGTGATCAGGCTGGCAGGCAGAATCAGTTAGGGGCAATCAGGCAGGCAGGCAAGTGAGCGGTTTAGAAGCCAGCAATCCTGGATTGTGAGAGGGATGTCTGGTGGGATCGGGCCTAAACGGACAGCCGGACATCCCTCAAGGGGTCCCAGATTGGAGAGAGTGCAGGCTGGGCTGAGGGACACCACCCCCCCCACCCCCCCCCCCCCCGTGCATGAATTTCATGCACTGGGCCTGTAGTTTGTATATAATGTTATTTGATCATGCTTGTTCATTGCCTAGTTTGATGTATAGTTTTATGTTGACTTATTTGTCTTTGGCTATAAGATTTAATGACTGCTTCCTAAAATTTATTATGGGCCTACTTTTCTTCATTATTTTACAAGTTTCCAGAGTATATAATACAGTGAATTTGCTATCCTAGATATTTTTAAAAAAATCTATTTGATGGTAGTTTTGAAGGAAGAAAATCCTGAAGATGTCTATTTCTGAATGATGGAAGATACTAAAAGTGGAAATTGCAATCCCTTTGTTGTGACTACCATTGCTATGCTGTGTACCAAACTACCTCACACTTATTGGAGTTATGTAGCAATCATTTATTATTACTAATTCTCATAGTTTTGCCTGTGAGATTATTTGGGCAAATAAATTAATTCTTTCAGCATAGCAGTGTTGCTTAATTCTCTTGCATTTTTTTCAAAAATCTTATTCTTAGGGTTTTTGTTTTGTATATGAGCCTTTAGATAATATTTATTAGTCCATTCTCTTTATAATAAAGATAGGACTGGAAAACTGATATGATTAAGTAGTAATTTCTGTGTTTTATAGCTTATAACATAGGATTACAATAGTAATAATAATCTTTAGTGGCCTGCCTGTTATAATTTATTAAATTATGTATTTAGCTATAAAATCATATAAAATAGTTCCTTTTAATGCTTATCCTTTGAAAATTCATTTTCTTTAGATGCAGAAGTATACAATGAGTTTTATCCTGTGCCACCTCCATACAGTGTTGCTACCTCTCTTCCTACGTATGATGAAGCTGAGAAGGCAAAAGCTGCTGCAATGGCTGCTGCAGCAGCAGAAACATCCCAAAGAGTAAAAAAGTTTTATTTCCTTTTGAGAATATTATTTGATATATCCATTTAGTAATATCAAAATAGTGGTCTGTATTTGAGTGTTTGTGCCTGTGTATATTTTTAATATATTACTACTATTTATATGTATCATTTTTATTGAACTAGGTACTCCCCTAGTTAATTTACCTTCTTCATTCCTTGACCTGTTCATTTCTATTTCTTTTCTTTTGATCTTCCCCTTTATCCCATCTTAAATTGTGGTCATCCTAGACTTGTGGTTGGCAAACTGCAGCTTGCGAGCCACATGGGGCTCTTTGGCCCCTTGAGAATGGCTCTTCCACAAAATACCACGGCCTGGGCGAGTCTATTTTGAAGTGGCATTAGAAGAAGTTTAAGTTTAAAAAAATTTGGCTCTCAAAAGAAATTTCAATCCTGGTACTGTTGATATTTGGCTCTGTTGACTAATGTTTGCCAACCACTGTCCTAGACCTTATCTTTACCCATATAATTATCATTTCCACATTCTTGATTTTAGGCACTCATGTACTGACTGGCCTTAACCTCCCATCCTTCTGACCCACCCTAGGAACATGTTTATAAAGAGAAGTTTTCTGTTTCCAACTGCTTTTAATAAAACTCTATCTGTGAGGATTGTGGAAAATTTCATGGAAAGCAAAATAAAATTGTACAGGAGACGTACTTAGATGTTTATAAATAATCTTTTAAATTCATTACTTTCTTTTTTTTTTTTAATCCTCAACTGAGGATATTTTTAGAGAGAATGGAAGGAAGAGGGAGAGACAGAGAGAAACACCGATGTGAGAGACTCACATCGGTTGGTTGTCTCCCACATACCCCCCACCAAGGTTGGGAGCCTGTAACTGAGGTATGTGCCCTTGACCAGAATAGAAAATAAGACGCTTCAGTTCGCAGGCTGATGCTTTATCCACTGAGCAAAATCGGCTTGGGATTAAATTCATCAGTTTCTAACCCAGTGTTCCATCACTTTTTTCCTATATAATACTTCTTTATATATATATTTTTAATGGATTGAGTGATTTTAGAGGATGAGGAAGGGGGAAAGAGAGAAAAATAAACATCAATTTGTTGTTCCACTTATTTATGCATTCATTGGTTGCTTCTTGTGTGTGCTCTGACTGAGAGGAGATCGAACCCACAATCTTGACATATCGGGATGACACTAACCAACTGAGCACCCTGGTCAGAGCTCTAGTATGTGTTTCTATAATTGATTCAGATTTTTTTTTTTTTAAAGGTCTAATTAGTTTTGAGTATAGGCATACCTTGGAGATAATGGAGTTCAGTTCCAGACCATAGTGATAAAGCAAAGTATTATAATAACGCAAATTGTAATCTTTTTGTTGGTGAAGCATCTTGCCTTCCATTCAACATTTGTGAAATGCAATAAAGCAAAGTACAATAAAATGAGACATGTCTGTATATTCACTTGTAAATGAATCTCAGCTGGGTGACTTGAAGCCTGTTTCTTGAATCTATTCTTTTTGGGAGAACGTAGGTGTCCAGGAGACTTGGAAACACTATTTTCTATTTCTTGTGTATAGAGTTGCATCTATCATATGAAAAATTAAAAGATTTATAAAAATAAATTTATATTTAATATTTCTATGAAAAACATTTGAATTCTATATAATTCACTTTATAAAACATTTAGAACATGGCTTGTTCTTGTTTATCAGTTAGTCTCATTTTATAATCCTGTCGTGGGTAGGGTTTGGATTTTTTTTGTAATGTGTTTTATTAAAAAAAAAAATTATATATATATTTAAATATATTTTATTGAGTTTTTACAGAGAGGAAGGGAGAGGGATAGAAAGCTAGAAACATCGATGAGAGAGAAATATCGATCAGCTGCCTCCTGCACATCGCCTACCGGGGATGTGCCCACAACCAATGTACATGCCCTTGACCCGAATCGAACCTGGGACCCTTCAGTCTGCAGACCGACGCTCTATCCACTGAACCAAACCGGTTTTGGCTAAAAATATATTTTTATTGATTTCAGAGAAGAAGGGAGAGGGAGAGAGAGATAGACACATCAATGATGAGACAAAATGCTCTGACTGGGAATCAAATCATGACCTCCTAGTTCATAGGTTGATGCTCAGCCACTGAGCCATGTTTTAAATTGTGTGTCAGTATCTTGTCTTTTGACATAAAAACTAGCATTTGATAAATTGTGAACAAATCCAGAACAAGGACCTTCGATATATGATTCTAGCACCTATATATCATCTGGGACATGTTTGGTACTTAATAAATGACAGTTAATGAATGCTTTCTTTACATTTGCCAATGTGGGAAATTAAGAAGAAAATACCAGAGTTGTGCTTCATTTAAAATATTTTACCAATTTTAGGATTTATAAATCAACATAAAACATAGTTATAGTTGAAATTATTGCATAGACTCCATATTTTATTTTTTAAACATTCTATTTAAATGTTTCTGTTCTTTTAGTGGTTGAATAAAATTCCATGGAATCAATCCTATATAATAAAAGCCTAATATGCTAAGTGTCCCGTTGGCCATGCAACCAATTAAAGCATAGTATGCTAATGTATGATAAGGCCTTTTAACTGCTTGCTATGACGTGCACTGACCACAAGGGACAGATGCTCAAACTGGTAGGCTAGTTTGCTGCTGGAGTCCAGCCAATCAGGACTGAGCGAGACATGTCAAACATACCCTGGAGCTCTCTTGCGGTCCCTTCCCCAGCTGGTCAGCCTCTCTGACAATAGTCCATTATTGATGGGCATTTATATTCTGTCTAATCTTTTGTTTTTTTTAACGTTGCTGCAGTGAATTATCCTATATAATAATGAGGTAATATGCAAGTTGACCCTCACGCCCTCACAAGATGGCTGCCCCCATGTGGTCAAAGATGGCTGGCAGGGGAGGGCAGTTGGGGGGCAACCAGGCCTGCAGAAGAGGGTAGTTAGGGATGACCAGGCTTGCAGGGGAGGGCAGTTGGGGGGCAACCAGGCTTTCAGGGGAGGGCAGTTAGGGGTGACCAGGATGGTAGGAGAGGGCAGTTAGGATTGACCAGGCTGGCAGGAGAGGGCAGTTGGGGGGGATCAGGTCAGCAGGGGAGGACAGTTGGGGGCAACCAGGCCTGTAGGAGAGGGAAGTTAGGGGTGACCAGGCCAGCAAGGTAGGGCAGTTGGGGGTGATTGTACTGGCAGGGGAAGACAGTTGGGGGCAATTGGGTAGGCAAGGGAGAAGTTAGGCGTCGATCAGGCTGGTAGGGGAATGGTTATGGGGTGTTTAGACTGGCAGGCAGGCGAGCAATTGGGAGCCAGCAGTCCCTGATTGTGAGAGGGATCGGGCCTAAACCGGCAGTCAGACATCCCTCGAGGGATCCCAGATTGGAGAGTTGCAGGATGGGCGGAGGGACCCCCCTCCCCCCAAGCACTTATTTCGTGCACTGGGCCTTTAGTCTTTAATACATTTCTTATAAACATGAGTATATGTGTGTATCTGTACAATGTATTTGAAGAGCTGGAATTGCTGGGTCAAAGGGTATGTATAATTTTGTTTTTGATAAACATTGCCACTATTGATGTTTAAAGGGCCTGTTTCCACTTGACAGTGGAACATCTATCTTTCTTAATATAATTTTCATTAATTCAATGTTATTCAATTTTTATCTTTTTTGTGTTTACCCTTGAAGTTACTCTTTTCAAGGGTGCCCATGAAAAATGAACACTTGCTAGACATTGTACTCATCTGTTTTGTTTATACAACAAATTGAGAATATTAGATTTTATTTAAATTCTTATTTTATATTCAAGGTAATAAAGTTCTAATGTCTGATGTTTTACAGATTCAGGAGGAAGAGTGCTCACCAAGAGATGACTTTAGTGATGCAGACCAGCTCAGAGTGGGTAACGATGGGATTTTTATGCTGGCGTTTTTCAGTAAGTGATCTTTCCTTTCTAAATTTTTTAGTTTTTTTTGCATATATTGGCTATGTATTTTTAAAATAACAGACAGTGAAAAAAGGCAAATATTGTTAGCAGGTGTCTACCTTTTTTAAAATGTAAATTGTTCCCGATACCAGCTAAGTGTGATCAAATGTTACAGTACAAACCCTAGAATTTATTACTTATCAGATGACTGTATTGTAGTCATCATGCTAGATGCTGACTGTATAGAGATATACAAGCATCTTTAAGTTAAATATAGTTTTATATGAGAAATGTTGCATGCCCATTTAATATTGTAAAAGCATGTAGAATGAAATTATAAATTCTGCTTTTGAAGCAGAGGACTTCCATTTGAGTGTCTTTAAACCAGAAGAGAAGTTGGAAAAAGAAATATTCTGGGCAGCTAGAACCATGTGATTTGAGACACAAAAGTATGAAAGTGTAAGTCTTATTTGAAGGGAATGGTGAGTAGCTAGAAGTCCAGTAATCTAAGTTATATTTTGTAACATCTTGCAAAATTAATATTTAACTTATAAAGTAAACTTAAGGTACTTGTGGGAAAACTGTGTTATAGTCTTTATTATTTCAGTTTCTAATTGGCACAGTGTAAACAGTAAATAAGATTATGAAACTCAAAAAATTAAATTGCTAAAATAAGTTTTGGAAACCTGATATTCATGTAGTCTATATATGGTTAATTTCTCCCTTCAGCTTAGTTAGATGATCAAGTTTTTATACCTTCTTTGATAGAATGCTAATATTATTCATCTTAATTCATGATTTATTTTGATGATAAAGCCCAGAAGTAGTTTACTTACTTAGAGTACAACATTTAACTTAAAAATAAAAAGTACATACTTTCTGAATTGAATTACTTTTGAATCTGAAAAATTACCTCCTCTATTTTTTTAAAAGATTTTAAAAAAAATTGACTTTTAGAGAGAGGAAGAAAGAGAGAGAGGAAGAAAGAGAGAAACAAACATTGATGTGACAGTGAAACACTGATTGGCTGCCTCCTGCACCCATACTACCAGGGATCAAGCTGAAACCCGGGGATATGCCCTGATGGGAATTGAACCAGCGACAACACCCAACTAACTGAGCCACATTGGCCAGGGTTCTTGCTTCCTTTTCCCCCATCTTCTGAAGAAGTAGATAATCACTCAGAAATGGAAGGGTGAATGGGTGGGCAGTTATATTTTTCTCTTCAAATTTATTAAATTATATTCAGGTAGGCACCAGCTAATAAAATACAATATTTATATCTCATGGTTTTAACAATTTCTAGTTAAATTTGATGTTAGATACTATGCAAAGGAAATGAACACTTTAGCTACAAATAACTACTGTTTTTTACTGCTAGTTTAGTGAACCTTGTTTTCTGAATTTTAGTTCAGCTTATAATCCTTTAAATTGATAGTACACCTCCTACATATTTTGATTATGAGTCATGTAAACATTGATTCCTTAATTAGAAAAGAAAGAATTTAAATTTATTGTACTCTGTGTAGTATAAATACCTGTTTTTTTTTTTAGGAATAAAAACATGTTATTTTACAGTCTCTAATTATTTAACTCAGAGCTTAATTATTATTTCTCCATTTCTGTAGTTCACTAAATAATACTATTCTTTTTAGTTTTTTGATTTGAAAACATTTTGCTAATGTAACAGTGATGTAAATGCATGATAACCTAGACACTTGATTGATTTTATTTTTGGCCACTAGTGATATATTAAAGTAAATCCAAATATTTATATTAATATATATAATGAAAATTATCTGGCTTGATTTAAATTTTTACTGAATTATGTTTCTGCAGTTTATATTTTTATACTACTTAATAGTCTACTTATATTGCACTAATATTATAAAGTTAAATTATAAATTATTTATCTTTATTTCCTTACTTTTTTTTTTTTTTTTTTTTTTTTTTTTTTTTTTTTGGTGTCTGTAGGCCAGAGCTTGAGCTTATTTGCTTTAAAGAGCATAGATTTATTTGTGTTCACTACCATCTAGTGGCTGTTCTTCAAATTGCAACTTGCTATATTTTCCATTCTTAACCTATCTAGCAGTTGTCTAGATTGTTCTATTGTCTATTTCTAAGGTTTTAGAAATAGATTTTCTTTAGTATGGTTAATAACTTAAGCATTTTAGGTTCTATAAGTTGTACAAGTAAAACTACAGTAAATATCAATTATAAAATTTCAATTAAAACCTTTTGTTGGTTTAATTCTTGCTATCTGTTTTCAATGTCTATGTTTCTTTTACCACATGAAACCCTATAAAAAGTTTTACCCTGAATTATAAGATAATTGCATGTTAATGTCCTGAAAATGTAAAAAAAGAAATATGTGTGTCCTCTGATAATGTTCTAGCTTCTACAATCCCTTGAAGTGTCACTGCAAAATGCCTTTTATACACCCAACTGCCTCTGATTTTATATTTAACAGGCTTTCTCTTTAATAGAAAAGAAGTAAGCTGTTTTTCAGTTAGAAACTAGAAATTAAGATTTTGTTCACTAGATAATTGACAGTCTTTGGAAATAACCCTGAACTCTATTACTTAAGAATATATTGGGCCCTAACTGGAATTGTTTCTTCTAAGGTTGAGCCTTTTGTGTCATGTGTGAATCTTCACCTCAGTGTGCTATATTAATAATTATTTGTCTTTTAGACACAAGGATCACATAACTAAAGAAATATTAAGTTAATTGTACCTTTAAAAAGAATTAGAAGAGTGTTTTGCAATATAATTTCTAACTTGTAAGAAATTACCAAATTATCTTCCAAAGTGGTTGTACCATTTTGCATTCCCACCAGCAGGGAATGAGAGTTCCTGTTGCTCTGATCCTGATTGACATTTAGTGTTCACATAAAAAAAAAAAAAAAAAAAAAAAGTCATTCCAATAGATGTGTGGTGGTATGTCCTTGTGGTTTTTATTTTCATTTCCTTAACAGTTAATGATGTTGAACAATATTACTTAGTAAATTCTTTTGAACCCCTCCATCGACAAGTCATAAAAATTACAGTTATTAAAAGGGTTGTCTGAGCACCACACATATGAAAAATAGTATATTAATGATTTGTGCATGCAAAGCTGTGGTTATTTTTTTAATTATTATTGGTTTTGGATGACATTACACATTGTAAGTGAATCCAGAGAGAGAACATTTAAGCATTGCAATTATATCTTTAAAAACTCATAATATTTATGAAGTATTGAATTTTATTGAATTTTTTATATTTAAATTTTATTTGAATTTGTTGAAGAAAAAGTTTTTAAATAAATTCTCTATAATTTAAGGCATATCTATAATTTAGTGGATATACATTAAAGTAATGTCTGTTTAAAAATATATTTTTTATTACTTTTTAGAGAGAGCATTTGAGAGGGAAAAAGAAACATTGATATGAGAGCAATTCATCGATTGGTTGCCTCCTGCACCCCCCTACCAGGGATGGAGTCTGCAACCCAGGCATGTGTCCTGATCGTGAATCGAACCAACAACCATTGGTCCATGGGACAACACCCAACTAACTGAGCCACACTGTTTAGGGCTAAAGCAATTTCTTAATATGTTGCTAGATCATGTCTTTCTAAATGGCTGATAGTTTAAACAGGGAGCCTAGATAAAACAGAAATTTATCCCTGTGTAGTTCAAAATTAAGTATAGTGAAATTAATTGATCTTTGAGAACTTATTGTCTTAGTAACCTGGTGTATTTAAATGTGAGGAAAATTTTTCTTTGATCAAATATTAGTAAGTTCTCAATGTTTGCATATTTATCAAATATGCATATTTATCACCTATGATTTTCATTTGTTTACTTTCAAAGCAAGTATCAAGTTGTTTTTAATTTTAAATTTTTTATTTTGAAATACTTTAAAACTTAGAAAAAAGGTTGTAAATTTAGTGTAGTTCCCAACTTTTTTTCAGCTTTTCCAAGTCTTAACATTTTACATGATTTCAGTTTAATAATAAATATTTGGTAATTAATATTAATGAAATACTAACTGGTTTACAGATTTTATTCAAATTTTGCTAACTGTCTCATTAATGCCCTTTGCCTGATTCAGAATCTAATCTAGGATTACACATTGTTTTTAGTTGCCATGTTTTCTAAGTCTGCTTTACTATGGAAGAGTTTCTTAATCTTTTCTCTTGTTTCTTATAACTGATTCTTTTGAAGAAGTACCAATTTAGATGGTGTGTGTGTGTGTGTGTGTGTGTGTGTGTGTGTCTGTCTGTCTGTCTTTGTCTCTTTCTATTTGCAAAAATACCACAGAAACGATGGGCCCTTCTCAGTGCATCACAACAAGAAGGAATAATCTAGATATGTGTTACTACTGGTGATTCCTATTCTCACTAGATTAAGGTGATGTCTGCCAACTCTCTTCACTATAGAGTTACTGTTTTCCCCTTTTTAATTTAAGTATCTTATGGCTACTGAAAATTAAAAGTATAGTCTTTCTATACTTTTCATGGATAAACTGTAGCATACTGATAACCATTTTGGATAGGTGGTAAAAAGAAACAGAATATAGGTAAAAGACTTGGATGTTTCAATCCTGGCTATACCACTTACTTGCTTTATGACTTCATGTGCAGCTCAACTGTTCTGAGTCTCAATTTGTCCTTCTGTACAGTGGAATTAACTTGACCTTGCCCTTCTTAAAAAGCTAATGTGAGGAACAAAGGAGTGAAAATATATGAAATGTCATAAATTATAGTGTTCTATTAAGTGAAGGTGGTGATAATGTTCTCCTTACCAGAGAACCCACCTTTTAGATATAATAAGTAATATGATTTAAAATGATTTTCAAATGTCATTAACCTGTCCAAACCTGCCTGATTTGCTTTCTTACAAAGAAGGGCACGCTGAAGGTGAATGTGGAGAAATGTAATCGGAGCAACGTAAGCATTCTTTACCAACTTTGCTGAGTTTATTGCTTTGCTTCCCTGCTGTTTGCTTACCCAAATCTTAACTAAGGAATATATGCTACCTAAGGTTGTTGCTTTTTGGGGTTTTACCATGGCTTTTGTTATATGAGTAATAGGTTCCTTATGTCCTGTAAACTTCCATATTTTACCCTAGGTTTCCAGGGAAACATACATGAATAACATAGAGTTGAAGGAAAAGTATTGTCTTCTTTTCTAGGCATGTCTAATATGTTCTCCTGCCTCTACTACATGTTGTTTCTTTGCAGATTTTACAGGTATATGGTTTAGTGTACAGTTATGAAATTCTCTTTTTTGCCAACTTTGACATCATAGAGGATCCATAACTGAATCCACAAATGATTCTGTCCTTAAAAACCTATCCTGCTTTTACTTCCTATCTTACAGGCTAAGGGGCATATGCTCAATTGGTCACTGTTTTCCTGGTGCTTAAACCAGTTAAAGATGGTTAAGTTATGTACTATATTTGTCTGTTGAGTCAAATATTGCCCACTGGGTGTCTTACAAATGGAATTAATTTTCTTCGAGTTTTGAAGGCTAGAAGTTCAAGATCAGGGTGCCTGAAAATTTGGTTTCTGGTGCAGATTCTCTTTTTGGCTTGCAGATGGCTATCTTCTTGATGTGTCCTCGCATGGCCTGTCCTCTACATGTATGTGGTGAAAGAGCTCTTGAGCCACCAACCCTATCAGCTCAGGACTCTACCCTGTAACTTTGTTTAATCTTAATTACCGCCTGAAGCCCCTGTCTCTAAATACAGTCACATTGAGGGTTAGGGCTTCAATATACAAATTCTTTGAAGAGGCACAATTCAGTCCATAGCAAAGAGAGCACATATAGCAAAAAGAAAACATGATGCTTTAGTAAATACTATTTTGTACTTTTGGACGTTATTTCTAGTGTGGATGCAATATGTATAATAGTCTGATTTGAAGAAACTAATTGGATAGTGTTTGAATATATACGCAAATGTAAAAATATACTTTTGGAATATTTTGCTGTTTTGGATTTTCTCCATCAATGCTTCCTATGTTTTAACAACATGGCATGCTTACAAAATGATAGCATGTTTACAGCACACTGGGTAAAGGAAGAAGGTGGTCAAGACTGGTAGCAGTCTGTCCTTTGCCCTAGCCCTCACCCGCCTGAGGAGAGAAATATCTCAGCCTGTCACTAACACATATGTGGCATATGTAGGCAATCTGTAGGAAATCTCTGCTGCTGTTCATTGATATAAATTCTTTATTTTAAAATAGATATAAAATTATTTTTGATTGGTTAAGTGTTTTTTGTTTTCCCCTACAGCTACCACAGATATTAGCCAATTAGGTACAGAGCAGTTACATCTAATAGAATATTCTGATAGTGGAAATGAAATATTCTATATATCAGCTGACAGTATGGTAGCTGCAAGCCACATGTGACTCTTGAGTACATGAAATATGGCTATTGCAATGGAGGAACTAAATTTGTAATTTTATTTAATTTTAATTTAAATTTAAATAATTTCTTTTATAGAGGAGGATATGTTCCTGGGGCACAAGTAAGAAGCAGTGTGTCTGGTAGCTTTGGATAGCACAGATATGGAGGATAGCAAAATACTGATCAATATTTAGGTTTAAAAAAAAAGAAAAAGTAGAAAGTTAAATAAGCTTTATTTCCAATAGTGTCTCCTGAAATTTTTTCTACAGAAAAGATAGGACCTACTCTGTAAGGTCAAGATATTTCCCTTGCTATGTTCTTAAGAACCAAGGAATGTTTTTCAAAAGGCCTATTAAAAAAAAAATAATTGGAAAGGAGTTTTGTCCTCCTGTGATTTTGCCCCAGACTACTGGGGACCCACCTATTGCGGTTAAGTGTTAGATCCAGTCTTCCGAAGGGAGTCTGTAAAGGTGGGTGGGTTCTTGTGGAGGAGTACAACAGGTTTTGTTAGAGAAGAGAAAGAAGCAGTGAACAGTATCTGTTCTGGGATCCATCTTTGATAATATATTTGGCTCAGTTTTAATATTGGCTGATTGGTTGACTGATTGCTGAGGCTGGGCTTCTTGGGTGGGATCTCATGGAAGCTACATTGTGACCTGGTTTTTATCTGGTATAAAAATGTTTCACCCATTGTGATAAGCTTTAAGGAATTGATTCTTATTGATTAAACTAACAAGAAACCAAGCTTACTCATTTGTTAATGTCTGGTAAATAACTTACATTTGCAAAAGGTAAACTATAGTCTATAAAGAAGGCTTAATTGGTACAGAGTTCAAAAAAAAAAAAAAAAGGAATTGCTATTCCCATTGAGCAATGAAGTATTGTAAATATCAATTTGTTAATTTGTTTCCAAAGTATAGTTTTTAAAATAACTCTTTCTCTTGCTTTTAGTGGCATTTATTTTCAACTGGCTTGGATTTTGTTTATCCTTTTGTATCACCAATACCATTGCTGGAAGGTATGGTGCCATTTGTGGATTTGGCCTTTCATTGATCAAATGGATCCTTATTGTCAGGGTGAGTGTCTTGATAATGTTTATCATTTTTATCTTTAAAAATTAAAATATATGAAATTTCTGTGTAGTTCATAAATTTTATGCATATGAATTCAATTATTTTAAGACTATTCTTCTAGACTTTATTATAGTGATTTCTGTGGTATGAAAATTTATAACTGTATCTATATGAGAGCTTGCTGGTATAGTAGTTCCCTCAACTGCAGTTTTGCTTTCTTTGTTTTGTGTTATTTATGGTCAGCCATGGTCTGAAAATATTAAGTGGAAAATTTCAGATATTTTGAGAGAAAGAGAGAGCAAGCAAGCACATTCACATAACTTTTATTATAATATATTGTTATAATTGTTCTATTTTATGTTGTTAATCTCTTACTGTGCCTAATTTATAAATTAAACTTTATCATAGGTATGTATGTATGGAAAAAACAAACAAACATAGTATATGTAGGGTTCAGTGCAGTTTAGGCAATCACCGGGGGTCTTGAGACAGATATCTCCCCTGATGATAAAAGGGGACTACTGTATAATGGAAAGAACTTTGAAAGCAGAAAAACTTGTTTGGACCTAATCTTTTTTATATCAGGATGCTAACTTTAAGTTTTTAAAGTCTTCTGAACTTTAGTTTCTTCATATAGGTTGATAATATCTGCCTCTCAGAATTTTTGTGAGGTATGGAAATAATATAATTTAGGTCCCTTGCCTAGTTGCAGTACAAATATATGTTCTGAATCACATCAGGGCTACTACTATTGTGATATAGTACAGGCATTTCTAAGTCAGTTAAAACGTAATTTCTATTACGTTTTAAGTTAGTAAAATTATCATGGATTTAAATATCTTCTTGTTCTTTATGCTTTTTTAATAACATAAGAGCTCAAAGTAAAATTACAGGCTTTTGAAGTGTCTATCAGAACTCATATTTTCTCCCTTATATTCCTGCTGAGTCTTCTCATTTTCCTGTTGTTCCTAGAAATCAACCTCTGTCTGCCTTTTATGTACAAGATAGTGTGTAGGGAGAGAGCAAGAATATCTCCTTTTATTTCTCCTATCAGGAACTTTTCTAGTACTATTGTCATAATCTCCTACCAACTCTTTACTTTTGCCTCTTGAAGGCCCCTTTGGCTCCTTTTTTTACAAAGCTTTTTTTCCTGGTTTCCTAAGGATAAGGCTCAGGAAAATTATATTTATTGTTTTAGTAAGTCTTTTTAAAAGTTACCACACATTTGCCGAACCGGTTTGGCTCAGTGGTAGAGCATCGGTCTGCGGACTGCTAGGAGCCAGGTTCGATTCTGGTCAGGGGCATGTACATTGGTTGCGGGCACATCCCTGGTAGGGGGTGTGTAAGAAGCACCTGGTCGATGTTTCTCTCTCATTGATGTTTCTAGCTCTCTAGCTCTCTCCCTTCCTCTCTGTAAAAAAATCAATAAAATATATTAAAAAAAAAAGTTACCACACATTTAAATGCAGTCAATAAAACATATACTTTCTATTAATCATATTTATTTAAACATTGATTTCTAATTGAATGAATCAAATCCTCAAACTTTCAATAGAACCATAAACCTAATATGTCAGCTGCCTTAAGTGTTTCAGACACTTTAATTATGCACCTACATTATCAAATTGATTAAAACATTACTCACTACAAAAATATTTAAACTATTGAATTAATGCATTTCTTCATTATTTTAAAACTTATTTTATCACTTTTCAGGGTTTCAGAAATCTTATCAGCCGCTTCCTATTAAGACCAAATTACAGGTTTTGGTTATTAATAAATTGACTCTTAGTTGGGACCTATGGATTGGCTGCTTCTAAGATGATTAAAATTTGAACCATTGTAAGAATAGCCTTCTGGTAGATTTTTCTTCTAGTTTTATTTTTAAAAAAATGTAAAGTGGGTTCCATTCTTGAGCATAAATCTGTTAGGTGTACTGACACATACAGAGATAAAGAGACAATCCCTATTTTTGCAGAAGTTAGTATAAAAAAACAAGAGTTGAAGTTAGATAAGTTCAAACTAAAATAAAAATAGTTAACTAATTTTATATTAATAATAAAATTAGTTAACTATTACTCAAATGGTATTTCTCATTTAAGTTACAAAACTCAGAAAATAACTTGAGGACATTTTTATCATTTTAGGTAAAGCTGGCAAATTTTTAATATCTTTCTAGATACATAAAAAAGAAATTAGCTCAGCCCTGTCCAGTTTGGCTCATTGGATAGAGCATCAGCCTGTGGACCGAAGGGTCCTGCGTTCAATTCTGGTCGAGGCCATGTACCTCAGTTGCAAACTCCTCTCCAGCCCCTGGGGCTCACACAGGAGGCAACCAATCAATGTGTAGCTCTTATGTTGATATTTCTCTCTGTTTTTCCCTCTTCCACTCTCTCTAAAAATCGATGGAAAAAATATACTCTGGTGAGGATTAGAAAAAAACAACAGAAAAACCTCAAAAAGAAATTAGCCCATTGTATGCAACCTATGCCTTTAGGGAATTAGGCCCTAATTATCTCATAGAACTCTTTGTGATAAGGTGGGGAACTTAAATTCAAAGACTGAAGTTTCTCAGAGTTCTGTAAGGTATGTATTATTAAGTTTGATCACTAGAACTATTTAATTTTCCTGCAAAATACCTTTACTGAGCTAAGGTTAATATTATACCTTTAATACACACACACACACACACACACACACACACACACACACCCACACCGTATTTTCCGGTGTATAAGACGACTGGGTGTATAAGACGACCCCCTAATTTTACAGTTAAAACATAGGTTTGGGCCTATATTCGCTGTATAAGACTACCCCCCACTTCCGAGGCAACACCAGTTCTTTTTTTTAATAGACCGCCTCTCTGATTCTGGCCAATCTGAGCAGGCTTTTTACTAGAACACAGTGAGCTTCAGGTACAGAACATGTATAATTTGCATGCATAAAAAGCCTGCTTGGATTGGCTGAGTTAGAGAGGCAGTCTATTAAAAAAAGAACTGGTGTTGCCTCGGAAGTGGGGGGTAGTCTTATACAGTGAATATAGGGCTAAACCTATGTTTTAACTGTAAAATTAGGGGGTCGTCTTATACACCGAAAATACGGTGTGTGTGTGTGTGTGTGTGTGTGTGTGTGTGTGTGTGTGTGTGTGTATATATAGAGGGGGAGAGAGAGAGAGAGAGAGAGAGAGAGAGAGAAATGATACAAAAAGAATATTTTTTAAAATCTTTTGTATCACTTTATCAAGTATACTAGAGGCCCAGTTCACAGATTTGTGCACCAATGGGGTCCCTCAGCCTGGCCTGTGGGGATTGGGCCAAAACCAGCTCTCCAAAATCCCCCAAGGGGTCCTAGATTGTGAGAGGGCACAGGCCACGCCAAGGGACCCCATCAGTGCATGATTGGGGCTGAGGAGGGGCTGCAGGAGGGCTCCAGAGCATGTCCAGATTGGGGCCGTCTTGCCCAGTCCCAATAAGGGCTGATCAGGGCCAGCTGGCTGGGGAGAGACTGTAGGAGGGCTTCAGGGAATGTCTAGGCTAGGAAGGGACCACGGGAGGGATACAGGACATATTCGGCTCATCTGACCCAGTCCCAATCAGCTAGACCCCAGCAGCAGGCTAACCTACTGGTTGGAGAGTCTTCCCCCAGTGGTCAGTGCATGTCATAGTGACTGAAAGGTTGGACACTTCACATATTAGGCTTTTATATATATAGACTGGGCGGGCCCCTCAGCCCAGCCTGCACTCTCTCTAATCCGGGACCTCTCGGAGGACATCCCTCTCACAATCTTGGACCACTGTCCTGGTCACCCCTAACTGGCGCCCCCTGCCCGCCTGATTGCCACTAACTACCCCTGCTGCCAGCCAGGCTGCCCCCACTGCCCCCTCTCTGCCAGCCTGGTTGCTTATAACTGCCCCCTCTGGCCTGTTAACTACTTATTGCCTCCCTCACCCTGCCAGCCTGGTTGCCCCCAACTGCCCCCCTCTACCAGCCTGGTTGCCCCTAACTCCCCACCCCTGCCAGCCTGGTTGCTTCCAACTGCCCCCTTCTCCCCTGCCAGCCTAGTTGCCCCTCACTGACCCCCCTCTCCCCACTGGACTGATCACCCCCAACTTCCCCCCCTTCCGGACTGGTCACTCCTCATAGCCCCCCAGCTGACCTGGTCACTCCACACAGCCTGCTGTTCAGTCATTTGGTCATCCCTCACTAACCCCACTGCTGGCCTGGCTGCCCATGCAGCCTGCTTGTTCAGTCATAGGCAGCCATCTTGTGAGGACTTGCGGGTTAATTTGCATATTACCTCTTAATTATATAGGATGATTGTCTAAGCACTACACTGTACATCTGAAACTAATACAAAATAATGTGAATGTAAACTAATCAAAAAATAAAATTTAAAATTTTTTAAGTTTATATGAAATAATAGCTGCCATTCATTGAGTATTTTAATATGTTCCAGGCATAATTTGTTGCATACACTAAATTTTTTAAGCCTATCAGTGATGCTGGTGACAATTTAACCATTTTATTAATGATGAAATAAGAATGAAAAGATTCTAATAGCTTGCTTAATATCCTACAGTTTGTAGGTGGGTTAGAATCTAGCTTGTTCTCTCTTCCCCCACCCCCCTCTTTTTTTAAAATAAAAAACAATTTTTTATTTCAGTTGAAGTTAACATACAATGTTATATTAGTTTCAGGTTTATACCCCAGTGATTAGACATTATATAACTTACTAAGTGATCATTCCAATGGACCTCTTAGCCACCTGACACTATATATAGTTATTAGAATACTAGAGGCCCGGTGCACGAAATTTGTGAAGGGGGGGGCGCGGTGTGTCCCTCAGCCCAGCCTGCACCTTCTTCAATCTGGGACCCCTCAAGGGATGTCTGACTGCCCTCTCACAATCCAGGACTGCTGGCTCCCAATGGCTTGCCTGCCTGCCTGCCTGCCTGCCTGATTGCTCCTAACTGCTTCTGCCTGCCAGCCTGATCACCCCCTTACCACTCCCCTGCCAGCCTGATTTCCCCTAACTGCCTTCCTCTGCTGGCTCGGTCACCCCTAACAGCCCTCCCTTGCAGGCCTGGTCCCTCCCAACTGCCCACTCCTGCTGGCCTGATTGCCCACAACTGCCCTCCTCTGCCAGCCATCTTGTGTCCACATGGGGGCAGCCATATTGTATGTTGGAGTTATGGTCAATTTGCATATTATATCTTTATTATACTGACTATGTATTCCCTATGCTGTACTGTATATCCCCATAACTATTTGGTAAGTGCCAATTTGTACTTCTTAATCCTTTCATTTTTTTCACTCATTCCCCAAAACCCCCACCCATCTGGCAACCAACAAAATGTTCTCAGTATCTATGAGTCTGTTTCTGTTTCTGTTCTATTTATTTATTTATTTTGGGCTTAATTGTTGATAGATATGTATTGCCGTTTTATTGATCATATTCTTCTTTTTCTTCTTTTTCAAGAAGACTAACATAATGCTGGTTTGGTGGTGATGAACTCCTTTAGCTTTTTCTTGGCTGAGAAACCCTTTATCTGTTTTTCTATTCTAAATGATAGCTTTGCTGGGTAGAATAATCTTGATTGCAAGTCCTTGCTTTTCATCACTTCAACATTTCTTAGCAATGCCTTCATATCTGTAAAGTTTCTGTTGAGAAATTTTGACAGTCTTATGGGAGCTCCCTTGTAGGTAACTAACTACTTGTCTCTTGATGGTTTTAAGATTCTCCTTTTGTCTTTAATTTTTGGTATTTTAATTATGATGTGTGGTCCTCTCTGAGTTCATCTTGTTTTGGACTTTGCATTTTGTGAATTTGTATGTCTATTTCATTCACTGCTTAGGAAAGTTTTAAATCATTCTTTTCTAAAATAGATTTACAATTTCTTATTCTCTCTCTTCTTCTCACACCCCTATAATACAAATGTTGGCGTGCTTGAAGTTATTCCAGAGGCTCCTTACACTATCTTCATATTTTTGGATTCTTTTTTCATTTTGCTATTCTGATTGGGTATATATGCTTCCTTATATTTCAAATCACTGTTTTGATTTTTGGCTGCATCTAGACTACTATTGATTCCCTGTAAAGTAATCTTAATTTCAGTTGGTGTATCCTTCATTTCTGACTGGTTCTTTTATGGTTTCCATGTTCTTCCCCCACCTCCCACCCCAAATTACAAGATGAAGTTTATTTAGAAAGTTACAGAGGTGGTAAAGTGAGCCAGCTGGAATTGAACCTGGGACCCTTCTAATGAGTTTGCCAACTACTGTGTTAGGGGAGGAAAGATCACCCTGGGGTTGAGGTCCCACCCTCAAATTGTCTTTTGCTAGGCACCCATGGTTTTCCACCCTGGTGATTTTCTCTGTCTGGCTCATCATCCTTGCTGTGCTCATGTCTGTCTAACTGCCTACCACAGTTGGGTGGTGCTTCAGCCTGGTCTGAAGTTGTCAACTGGGTGTGCTGGTTCTGGGGGTCTCCTGGGGGGTGCAGGCCAAGGTCAGCCACTGTGGTCTTCCAGCGGTCTCCCAGCATGAGCTACAACATGCAGATGACTGCTACTTGTATTGAGCTTGGAGGTGCCCAGGTGAGTCCTAAACTGCAAACTAAGGTTGGATGCCTCTAGTGCTAAGCATGGGGCCACTTAGCAAGGGGTATGAGGCTCACCAAGATAGGCCATTCATATGGGAAAGTCAGTGGAAACAGCTGAGTGGGCCTGCAAGTTGGGTATGGTGGACTCTCAGGGAATCTTGGGGGTTGGGGGGTGGGGACAAGGTGACCAGGGTGAGCCAGTTTGCTGGAGACTCAGATATGGCCCCTGCTTGCCAACTCTGGCAGAAGGGCTCAGAAAAGGAACAATGGCCTTTGCACACACTTTTAACTGGGAGAAAGCTGTCTCTTCAGCTCTCACTTTGATTTTAGATAGTTCACACATCCCCATATATCCCTGGTCCCTTTCAGCTGCTGCCCTAGTGGTGGACCTTAAAGTGAGTGAGTCTGAGTGGGTCCGAGTAAGTGCATTGCACCTGTTCACAGGCTCTTTAAGAGAAACTGCCTGGGACTCCAGCAGCCCTCCATCTTATTCAGCCTCAATCCACTGATTTTTACAGTGAGAAATTATGGGGACTTCTCTTCCTAGCAATGGAATCCTGGGACTGGGAGGTCTGGTGTGGAGTTGGGACTCACTCCTCTTTCTTTATGGGGGACCTCCACAGCTGAGATAGTCCTCTTGATTTTTATCTGCCACCAGCCCATTCATTTTTCTACTCCTCCTACCATTCTCCACGTGGCTCTTTATATTCTTAGTGGTAGGACTTCCATTCTGCTAGATTTCAAGCAGCTATGAATGATGGTTGTTCAGGAGTTTAGTTGTACTTTTGATGTGGTTGTGGGAGGAATCAAGTACTGCATTTTCCAGCTTGTTCTCAATTCAGTGTCTCTTCTAATTCTGTAATGCCTCTGTACTTTACTTTTATTACAATGCTTCAAGCAATAAATTCCTCTTAGAGGTCAGTGCTGAGAGAAAGGTTTTTCTCTCAAAAGCTTGGGTGTTTCCTTTTATTAGACAATAAGTAATATCTAAGTCATACTGCTGCCTTCTTGTTTATTTCTGAGTTGCCATGAATTTCAGATTTATTGTATCTTTTGTCCAAGATTCTGACATTATTACTATATAAGGCTTTTGATGTTTTATTTCATTCATTCATTTGTTCATTCACTCATTATTCATTTTGTTAATTCTCATCCGAGGATATTTTTTCCATTGATTTTTTTTTTTTTAGAGAGAGTGGAAAGGGGTTGGGGGAGAGACAGAGAGACAGAAAATAATATCGGAGAAACATTAATTGGTTGTCTCTTGTATACACCTTGACCAGGAAGTGAACAGGTGAGACCATTCAGTGCATGGGATGACGCTTAACCAACTGAGCCACACCAACCTTTTTTTTTTTTTTTTTTTTTTTTTTTAACAACTTGACTCAACCTTATAATTTTAGTATTTTAAAACATTTTGAGCCAAAACCGGTTTGGCTCAGTGGTAGAGCGTCGGTCTTTGGACTGAAAGGTCCCAGGTTCGATTCTGGTCAAGGGCATGTACCTTGGTTACAGGCACATCCCTGGTAGGAGGTGTGCAAGAGGCAGCTGGTCGATGTTTCTCTCTCATCGACGTTTCTAACTCTCTCTCCCTCTCCTTTCCTCTCTGTAAAAAATCAATAAAATATATTTAAAAAAACAAAAAACATTTTGATAGCTCAGTAATGAGCCCAAAAGCTTATTTATCTTTTTTACATAGTGAGTTTCTTCAACCTCAAGGTGAAGGTAATTATATTCTTTTCTGGGGAGTAAATAATAGATTTAGGTAAATATTTTGGGTGAAGAATGACATTATTCTAATTTGCCTCTTGTTATGTAACATTATATATTAAATATGTTTTAAAATTAGAAAGTTAAAAATAATTCCTTTGATTCTTCTTTTCCTTAGCCTATAAAATCTGTGTAAAAACCTTTCGTTTCTAATTATTACTTTATTAAAAGTAATTTAATGCTATACTTTACAAGCTATATTTTCCAATTTTCTAGTTCTCCCTTCATAGTACATATTTTAAAGGTATTGGAGTATGTGGGATTTGTATCTTTAATGGTACTAGTAAATTTTTTAACCTTTGAAATGTCTGAAACTCTAAGCTGAGAATTTATATCATGGTTCATTTATAAATTATAAATATTTCCTGTAAAAGTACTTAAAAGGCTTTAAAACAGATTTTAAAAAACAGTTATTTTAAGTGTTCAGATGCTAAAGGATGACAGGGAAGAATTGTCTGAAGTAGCCCTGAAGAAAATTAAAGTTTTAAAAAGCCTTTAAATAATAATTCTTGATGATTAGTCTAATCAAGGAAAAGTACCCATGTCCAGTATCATCAAACCCAGCCTTCCAACTGCCTGTTCATATTCTTATTTTAGAGAGACTATAAAACTGCCTACCATATGGTGGTAGTGTCTTGAAGTGAAATGCCACTTCAAGGCTCATTAGCTGTTCACAGCTCACTGTTGGGAACTGAAAGCTGGTGTATCAGTTTGAAAATAAAAAGACTAATGACTTGGGGGTCTTTCTGTGCCTAGTAGTCTTGGCAGTAATTATCGGTAGGGGGTGTACAGAGGGTCAAAAACTCTTCATTTTAGAGGTCAACAGAACACATCTATCTGATAAGATTAAACTAATGTGGCTTTTGGTGCTAATGTCTAAAGTACCAGATTGCTATAAAGTATTTGGGATATGTAGTCATGGCTTTGAAAGATTATGAAAAAGGATCTGATGTGAACTCTTTAATGAGTAAATGTATCCAGATATATAGGATTTATCTTTTTTTTTTTCTTATAAGCAGATGAAAATTGATTTTTTCCAAAACATTTTATATATGTTTGTTACATATAAAAGGGTCTTTTTTTTCCCCCCAGATAATTTTATATGTATGTCATTAAGTATTTTTTTCTTATCTAATTTTCTTTTTATGCTGCTTTTAAGTGCTAAAGATTATTTGAGGTAAATCACTCTGAAACTGAGACTAATCTATGATTTTTCACATTTAAGTACACATACATGATAAATATATTTATGTTCACTCCATAGTTTTCTGATTATTTTACTGGATATTTCAATGGACAATATTGGCTTTGGTGGATATTCCTTGTACTTGGTAAGTTTATTCTTAATGCATTTTACTTCGATTAATTTCTATTTAGTTTAACTTTGGTATTTCCTAAAACTTTAAGGTATAAATACATTGTGTTACAAATTATATGGAAATAAATCTGTAAATTTCTCATATCCAAACACTTACTTCACATGCCAGCTATTCATATAATTCTACATAGTATTCCAGGTTTCTTAGATTGAAAATTCAGAGTCATTCAATTTAAAGACTCACTGGTTTAATGACAATTGGATGCTACAAAACTTGAAAATCCTAATATGGTTAAAAATAATTGCCTTCAGTATTTATCTTGGAAAATATACATACCTAATTTCTTTTAACGATCTTAGGAAATGTTGAGAGTGGGATAGTTGGATGTTCTATCCTGTTATTTTTGGATCACTAACACATTCTTTATACTTCTGAAATGTACTCTGCATTAGTCATTAATCAGCTAGACATAAGGAAAGATTTCATGCCTAATGATCACTGTACTTCTTTTGAGTTGTCTCCTTACAAGGCATGTCTTTTATTCATATTAATGAATTTTGGACATCCAATTTTTGTTCTTTGTTTTTCATGATGTATTATTAATTTAATCTTAAAATCACATTACACCTTTAACCCGCATTTCAAATTCATTTACCGACACGAAGTGTACATTTTGTTTCTACTTAGGTTTAAAAGCCCACATTTCTGTAGTAGAATAATTGTACCAGGAAATAATAGCATTTCAGTAGGTGGCAGTCTTCTCCTTGAGATTTTATTTAGTCCTGATATTGGATCTTTAGGATCTTTTGGGACATAACTTCTTAGTGGTCAGTTAAGGTCACTAAAGATCCTGGACTCTTTCTCTAATAATTATAGTGAAGTTATTATTCTAGTGTTTTGATTTTGTTGGGGAGTAAGGCTCATACAGATTTCAGACAGTTTTTTTATGTTGTTATTATATTTTGACTGCCTGAGTTCTGTATGTGGTTGTTTTTTTTTAATTGAGTTTCTTACTTAAAAGTGAAAAAAAATGTATAAAGTTTATTATGTAGTTAAGCATATTAATTGAGTATATTTGCTTATATATATATTATTACTAGAGGCCCAATGCACGAAATTCTATAAAGAGTGGGCCTGCCTTCCTCTGGCTGCCAGCTTCCCTCTGGCACCTGGGACCCGGGCTTCCCTCGCAGACCAGCTTCGTCGGAAGGATGTCCAGAAGGATGTCTGCTCTAATTAGCATATTATGCTTTATTATTATAGATTAAGAGATTGAGGAATTTTAGAAAAATAACTGTGGGACAGAGTGGAGTGCAGAGGACAACCCCCATTGCACATCAGAGTCATGGTCTAGCCTTTAGGAGACTGAAAATTTACTCCATGATAAAAACGTTGCTCTCACAAACACTCAAGAACGTTGAGCACTTTGTAGTACTCAGAAACAATAGCTGCTGAGTGGTTTCTAGGTATGGATTGGCTTATTTTAGAAAATGCTTGACCAGAACAAAATATGACTTAGAAATAGCAGCTTCATAGACAAAAGAGGGACTTCACAAATAATTTCGGTTTACATTTTTCAATAATACTTTTACATTTGGATCACCATGTCCATTATCTTTAAACAGCATCTGGAAGGACATGCAGTGGATTCAGAGTGAGAGTCACAAATGGAAGGAGTTAGGATATAGGAAGCAGATGGGATCACATTTAGCTGAAATTTATACCACTTGTTTAAATCATTATATATCTCTTCTATCTTACCATTTGGTTTTTTTGGGTTTTTTTTTTTTTTTAGTGCTTTGATTACTTGGAGTTGAAGCACAAATTTAGTTTGGGACTTTGCATTTTAAATTAACAAACTCTTCCTCCTTTAGAGGAAGTTTTGTATGCATACATGTCTTCTATTTTTGTTTTTTGACCCCACGATTACCTGGTTAAAAATTTACTGGAGTTAATGTTTTTCTTAGAATTGTATGCTTAAGTATATCAAAGATTTAAATCTACTAATAATGTTACTGCTTTTTATACTTAACATTTTTCATCTGAAACTTTAAAGCATTTCACAAGCGTTTTTAAAAATTATTAAGATACTTATGATTAAGTGGTTATTATTTAAAAATAACTGCTTTACTGAAGAGAACACTGACATAGATATGAGATTACTAGAGTGCTGGTTCCCAAGTCTTCTTTCCTGATTCTTATCTTAATTTTAATTTTAATTAATCTTTTATTACCTAAAAAATAAGCATTAGTATTTAAAATTATTTATATAATGCACATATCTTTAAATATAGAATTCACTTATGGCAAACACTTGATATTGCTAGACAGGCTTATTGTTATCCCACAATTGTTATCATTCACATGCATACATTCTCTCTTGAACACTATTTTCTATCAGTAAATATGTCTTGGTTTATTTAGTACTTACATTAATTGAAAATTTGGTAAAATGGGATTTTTATAAGTTGAATCAGTTTAAGTACATTAGGTAACTTTTCAATTTAAAGAAGTCAATTAATAAATTTATATTTTTGTGTAATTCTGGATTTTCATGGCTGGATTTGCTTTAATTTTTACTTTAGATATATTTAGGATTAATAAGTTGAAATAATTTTTAGATGGCAGTAAAATTTTATCATATTTCCTGATGATGGGGTTATAATTATAATGTTAAATAAATTATGGAGTGAATGAAACTATACAGTTAAGTTTCTTAAGTCAAGAGTATCTTGTTTATAATTGTCTATTTTAAATATTTCATGCCATCCTTCTGTATAAGAACATAACATATTTGTATTATTTCAACCTCAGGCCTGCTCCTATTCTTCAGGGGATTTGTTAATTATCTGAAAGTCAGAAACATGTCTGAAAGTATGGCAGCTGCTCATAGAACAAGATATTTCTTCTTATTATAGAGGTAAGACCTATTAATATATTAACTCTTTTTATTCCCTTTATTTATCTATATTCCCAGATACATACTCAATGTTTAATATGCACTTGTTTTTTAATAAATTATAACATATTAAATATTTTATTCTGTTAACAATCAGCTTATTTAAATTTAACATGTTGTGAACTGTTAAAGATAATTTAGATTTGTAAACTTGAATTTAATAAATTTAATTTTTTAAATATATAATGAGCAAAGTGAAACTTTGACCACAGGATATGAATGAAATAACCTCCAGCACAAAATTTGAAGGCTTGAAACAAAGCACTTACACAGAAGGGATGGGCATTTTGCATAAAACAATGTGAAATTCACATAGACATCTGGTTAAAAGAACAAAAAGCAAATCTGTGATTGAAGAGCAATTTCCCATGCACTGATCTTAACAAACTGGATCAAGGAATTAAAGTTGTATGAAAAAGCTAGGAGCTCTCTTATTATTTTCTTGATGCTCGATAGTTTGTATCAATAATGAAGGCTACAACTAGAACAAAAGGAAATATAAAGAAATGAGCAGAGGTGTTTTTAAGGTATTTGAACTGCATAAGCAAAATATCTGCTAAAATATCTTCTAGATTTATCTACAAGTACAAAATGTTTCAAAGTTGCTATATATTAAGTACAATCTTTTAATAAATTGTGTGGTTTGTGATTTAGTTGCTTAAAATTTATTTTTAACTTAAATGAGTTTTATGTAACCTACCATACTTCACTTATTTCTGCTGGAGAGTACAATGGATACAACTGTATTTCTGGATCATATTAATGTATCATTTAAAATATTCCATTAAGATCTCCCTGCCAAAGATATTGTATTTTCTCTTTAATCAGTAAAATTTTTTTGCACACAGTGACATTAAGAATTTGTCAGTTTTGACTGTAAAAGGCAAAGTAATTTTTACAAATTTAAATAATGTTCTGTGAGTATTCAGTATAATTATTTTGTTTGCATTTTCAAGAGTCTAAAATATAATATAAAAATTTTCTAGATGGTCTCCTAATCTTTAGAATATATTTTAATAAATGCTACTCTGTCATTTTATCAAAAGAATATTGTATACTTGATATAGTAATGCTATAAATGGATTTTTACTGTATTATCATTTAGATAAATGCAATGTAATATATTTTAAGACATTCTTTCTTTGTCTCTAGACTGCATCAACCAGACATTCCTTTCTTACATCAATGTGAAATTTCCAGATCATCTTGTAAACCTACAACTTTAATAGGATAGAAGACTACTAATAACAGAAGATAAATTAGTTAAAAGATAGAGCTTCAAAATTGGATGACAGGGTGGTTTATGCTTAAAAGCCACTTCTGTTCATTCTCTTAAATATTTATATTTCATTTGTTTTGTGCAGTTGTATCTGTGCCCCTTCAAAAGATTTGCATATACTTGAAAGACACCATAAAGTTGTAGCAGTAAAGTACAGTCACATTTTGTTAATCAGTGTTTGATGTATTTCAAAGAGTTGAGTGATAAACAGTCTTCTAGCATGTAAATGCCATTGACTTCTGACCTGACTTTTAGTATAATATAATAAAAATGAAATTATTAACCATGTCAAATGCTTTAGTTTTTGGCTCTCAGATTCATTTAGTAACTACACATGAAACATCCTTTGGTAAATAAAATTTTTTTTTTTGAAACCAGCAGTGCTGATTATTAGAAAGGTGGTGTCAGATTTTTGAACATGACTTTTACATCATTATTTAGCAAAGCTCTTTCTGTAAATAAAGATGCATAAACTACTTTCTGCATTGTTTTCTTAGAAAATTGTGTCTAGATATCTTTTCATTAATTTTAAAATAAGTGAACTTAATATATAGAGAAAATTTGTATGTTACAGATAGAGTTGTTTTAGGACAGATTTTAAGAAAATATGGTTATTCCACATATCCTTTATAAGAAGAAAATTTAAGGGACAAGCTGATTTTAGGGACTCTCAAATGAGAAGCTTGGTTTTTTAGCATTGACCATCTTAGAGATTCTTATAGGAAATGATTGTATTAGATATTTATTTTATTTCATTTAAGACATTTTTGAAAATTAATTTTTGAATAAGATTCTCATTTGCATTTGTCTTTTAAAAAGCCAATAAAAGTATCTTTCAGTATCATTGTAATAATTTTTAGATGTTTAGTTTGTTAAAAACTTGTACTATTAATAGCTTCTTGCTTTGTGATTGTAGGGTTAACTTGTAAAAATCATATCCTGGTATGCAAACTATGTCTTCAAGTATGGAAATGTGTCTGTGGAATATAGAGGTGTGGGGTATGTTTGTGTGTTGCAAGAGTGTGTGTGTCACCATTATTACAACTGGAAACTACATTCATAAGCTACTGCATTTTGCAAATAATTTTGTGCCTCATTTATTTTTATTTTTAGTTATATCTTTGCTTTTGAATGTCAATGTAAAAAAATAATTGGAATTATATACTCTTTTAAACTTAAAAATCATTTAATACAGGTAAATAGAATATATGCATACAATTGATTGTTTATCATTAGACATGACTACTACAAAAAAATACACTTAAACTATTCAGGGACATTTTCCATTTCTGGAAAGGAAAAAAAAAAGATTGTTTTATAATTTCTTTTGTATTTATCTGTGTTTTCTGGTTTATTTTATTGTCTTTGATAATAAAACATACATTTTTGTTTTTGCTAATTGAGCCTATTTTTTGTTTGCCCTCATTCAATCCCCTCCCCTGCATAGAATTGTATTATTGATTTAAGTGCCTGTGTTATACCCCTTGAAATAGAACAATAGAATGAGATAAAGAAAATAATATTTAATTTAGTTGCCTGATTTGGAAATTAATTAAAATTAGAATATACTAATAAGAAATGTAAACTCATGCTAGATCCCTTATATTAATTTCCTATAGATCTGTACTTCGTTCTTTTAATAATTTTTAAATGAAATTAAGCTATGCTGCATGCTAATTTTAAATTATTAGATCAGATACTTGGTTTCTGAATATGTATATGTCACTTTTGATCCAATATAAAAACTCTTTGTTTTGATTTTTGTTTCATCAAATCATAAGATTCAAGTGTGTAGGTTGTCTAATTTTCTGTAACTGGTACAATTCAGTGTTAGGCTTAAATCTCATCATCCACTTGGAGGAACCAGGATATTTTTTAAAACCTTCACACCCCCTTTCAGATTTATCAAATCTTGCACATTTCACTTCATTTCCTGTGAGCTTCGATAGAACAGTTGCTGGTGTGTTTGGGGGACACATCCACCTTTTTACTCTGCCTTAAAGATTAAAAATTAAAACCTTGTTAGGGTGTCTAAATTTTTGAATGAATGTAAGCTTGGGCTTGGAAGTTGATGAAAAATTTTATTAAATTTCTATTATATGAATAAGTTAGTTATGGCCAAATCCATTTTTATGTGTTTATGAAATAAACTAATATTAAGATAAAATAATTTTCTTTGTTAAGGATAGATCTTAGAAATTTAAAAGTAAAGAAATCCTATTATTCTCAGTAAAAATGAAAATTACTAAGAAAAATACTAATATCTAGCCCACTTTTTTTTAGTCTATAAGATATATCCAATGTCTTTGAGATTGTTTATGATTTTCAATCTGTTTAAACAATAATATTTCCAGTAAAACCTCTCCTAACAGGAAGAGTGGAATCTAAAGTCCATTTGCAGAAAAATTCAAGGCTCTTCAACTTAATTTTTTTCAACTGGTCTATATTGTCCCCCAAAGCACAAAAGTAATGATAGTCATTTGATACTGTATTTAACTAGAGTGACATATTTCCTGAGCTCTCTTAGAACAGTCCTGGTTATTTCCATTTTCTCATCTTAAATAGGACATCTCACTCTCAAATTGTCCTAATTTGGAAGATAAATTATATGATCACTGGATCGAGAAGTGACCGTCTAAACCCCTTGCCTTTTGAGAGAAAAAACTGGAGTATTAGGGCAGAAGACAATTATTGTTATGGCCTTTCCTAGCCAAATCATTTGTCCGGTATGTAGAACATGTGTAGTACCTTTTTTTTTTTTTTTTTTTTTTTTTTTTTTAAATAGGAATTGTTGTATTTGGGTGATTCCAGCTTATGATAAATAAGAAACAATGAGCTTTATATTTTTAAACTGCTGTTAAATGTTATTTTAATTGTTTATTACTGAATTCTTCAAATAGTAATGTGGAATATTAGTGTATTTTTTAAAGCCTCATTCTTGATAAAATTCAACTGTTAAGTCATATTGTGCCAATTACTATAGGAATGTCCTTGCCCATATATAAAATATGCTGATGTGTTTTACTTATTAATAAAGTTCTAATGATGTGGAAATATGAACCTATTGATGTATCCTTTTGAAATCAGTTTGATTCACAATATATTATCACCACATTGGCCTCACTAAAATATTTATATGGCAGACCACACAAGATTTGCAAGGAAAACAACTTGTATGCAATTAGATTGGAGTGTGCAACATTAACTTGTTTCTGTAATTTATATGTTAGATTGCAGTTTAATTTTAATAAATACAAGAAAATCAACTTTGTGAAAATTATGTTCATTTCTATTTTGCAGTAGATCAGTGGTCACCATAGTTAAGATCTGCTTTGGGACTTGTTTTCTTATTTGGTACATGAGCTTTAAAGTATAAAAACTTCCCCCAGGTTTTAAAAAAAGAAATAAAAAAACTTCATTTTATACTTCATAAAAACTTAAAAGGTAATGTTTGTCTTGAACTCGATATATTTACTTGTTTTAAGCTTTTTTTCTTGATGTATTTCAGCTAGCTTTCATTTTTATTTTGTTTTGAGAGATTGAGATACCTACTTCTAAAAATCCCACTTGGTTTTCACGAAAACCAGTTTAAAAAAAAAAATCCATTGGCTAAATAGAAAAGAGATGGGGTATTACCCTTTTATAATAACAGCTTAGGTATAGTAAACTGTAATCACACA